ATCAAAAAAAAGACAAAGAAGGGCATTACATAATGGTAAGGGTTCAATTCGACAAGAAGATTTAACTGTCCTAAATACATATGCACCCAACAAAGGAGTACCCAGATCGTAAAGCAAGTTCTTAGAGACCTTCAAAGACTCCCACACAATAATGATGGGAGACTTCAACACTCCACTGACAGTATTAGACAGATTATCAAGGCGGAAAATTAAGAAAGATATTCAAAACCTTAATTCAACATTGGACCAAATGTAACTGATAGACCTTTACAGAACTCTCCATCCCAGAACAACAGAATATACATTCTTCTCATCACCACATGGCACATACTCTAATATTTACCTCATAACTGGACATAAAATCCTTAACAAATGTAAAAGAACCACAATCATACCAAACACACTCTCAGACCACAGTGCAATACAAATAGAAGTCAAGACTATGAAAATCGCTCAAAACCATGCAATTGCATGGAAATTAAACAACTTTCTCCTGAATGACTTTTGGGTAAATAACGAAATTAAGGCAGCAATCAAAACGTTCTTTGGGCTAGGCATAGTGACTCACAGCTGTAATCCCAGCACTTTGGGAGGCCGAGGCAGGCACATCACTTGAGGTCAGGAGTTGGAGACCAGCCTGCCCAACATGGCAAAACCCCATCTCTACTAAAAAAAAAAAGCAAAAAACAAAAAACAAAGATTAGCTGGGCATGGGGGTGGTGTGGGCCTGTAATCCCAGCTACTCAGGAGGCTGAGGCAGGAGAATCATGTGAACCTGGGAGGTGGAGGCTGCAGTGAGCCAAGATCACACCACTGCACTCCAGCCTGGGTGACAGAGCATGACTCCATCTCAAAAAAACAAAAACAAAAAAAGAAGTTCTTTGAAGATAATGAGAGCAATGATACAACATATCAGAATCTCTGCTAAGGCAGTGTTAAGAAGAAAATTCATAGCACCAAATGCTGACATTGAAAAGCCAGAAAAATCTCAAATTGACAATCTAACTTTACAACTTAAAGAATTAGAAATGTATGAACAAATCAACTCCAAAGTTAGCAGAAGATGAGATGTAACAGAAATCAGAGCTGAACTGAAGAAAGTTGAGACATGAAAACCATTCAGAAGATCAATGAATCTAGGAGTTTGTTTTTGAAAAAATTAACAAAACAAGCCACTAGTTAGACTAATAAAGAAGAAAAGAAAGAAGATCCAAATAAACACAATTAGAAATGGAGAAGAAAATGTTACTACTGACCCCACAGGAAAAAAAAAAATCAGAAACTACTATGAACACTTCTACACACAAAAACTAGACAATCTAGAAGAGATGGATACATTCCTCGAAACATACACCCTCCTAAGACTGAGCCAGGAAGAAACTGATTCCCCGAATAGACCAATAATGAGTTCCAAAATTGAATCAGTAATGAATAGCCTACCAACTAAAAAAAGTTTGACGCCTAATGGATTCACAGCCAAATTTTATCAGATGTACAAAAAAGAGCTGATACCATTCCTACAGAAACTATTCCAAAATACTGAGGAAGAGGGACTCCTCCCTAACCCTCATTCTATGAGGCCAGCATCATCTTGATACCAAAACTTGGCAGAGACACAACAACAACAAAAAACTTCAGGCCAATCAAGTAGGCGTCATCCCTGGGACACAAGATTGGTTCAATATATGCAAATCAATAAATGTGATTCCTCACATAAACTGAACTAAAGACAAAAATCACATGGTTACTCAACAGACACAGAAAAGTAAGTCTTTTGATAAAATTCAACATTCCCTCATGTTAAAAATTCTCAATAAATTACTGAAGGAACATACCTCAAAATAATAGCCATCCATGACAAATCCACAGCCAACATTACACTGAATGGGGTAAAGCTGGAAACATTTTCCTTGAAAATCAGCACAAGACAAGGATGCCCTCTCTCACCACTTCTGTTCAACACAGTATTAGAAGTCCTTGCTGGAGCAACCAGGCAAGAGGAAGAAATAATAAAGAGCATCTAAATAGGAAGAGAAGTTACTATCTCTGTTTGCAGAGGACATGATTCTGTATCTAGAAAACCCATAGTCTTGGCCCAAAAGCTCCTTCAGCTGATAAACAACTTCAGCTAAGTCACAGAATACAAAATCAATATACAAAAATCAATAGCATTCCTATACACCACCAACGGCCTGAAAACCAAATGAGAAAGGCAATCCCATTCATAATTGCCACAAAAGAATGCAATATCTAGGAATATCAGTAACCAGCAAGGTAAAAGATCTCTACAATGAGAATGACAAAACATTGCTCAAAGAAATAAGAGAAAACACAAACAAATGGAAGGACATTCCATGCTCATGAATAGGAAGAATCAGTATAATTAAAATGGTTATACTGCCCAAAGCAATCTTCAGATTCAATGCTATTCCTATCAAACTACAAATGACATTCTTCACAGAACTAAAAAAAAAAAAAAAAGATTTAAACATTCATATGGGAACAAAAAAGAGCCTAAATAGCCAAGACAATCCTAAGCAAAAAAAAACAACAACAACAAAAAAAAAAACAAAAATCCAAAGCTGGAGACATCAGGATACCTGACTTCAAACTATACTACAAGGCTACAGTAACCAAAACAGCATGGTACTGGTACATAAACAGGCACACAGATCAATAGAACAGAATAGAGAGCCCAGAAATCAGATTGCACATCTACGACCATCTGATCTTTGACAAAGCTAACAAAAGCAAGCAGCGGGGAAAAGATTCCCTATTCAATAAATGGTGCTGGGCTAACTAGCTACTCATACACAGAAGACTGAAGCAGGACCCCTTCCTTATACCATATACAACAATTAACTCAAGATGAATTAAAGACTTACATGTAAAACTCCAAACTATAAAATCCCTGGAAGACAACTTAGGCAATACTATCCTGGACATAGGAATAGGTAAAGATTTCATGACAAAGACATCAGAAGTAATCACAATAAAATTAAAAATTGACAAGTGGGATCTAATTAAATCTAAGAGCTTCTGCAGAGCAAAAGAAATTATCGACAAACAGACAACCTACAGAATGGGAGAAAATATTTGCAAACTATGTACCTGACAAAGGTCTAAGATCTAGAATCCATAAGGAACTTAAACAAATTTATAAGAGAAAAACAACCCCATTAAAAAGTAGGCAACTCACATGAGCAGAGACTTCTCAAAAGAAGACATACATGTGGCCAGCAATCACATGACAAAATGCTCAACACCACCGATCACTAGAGAAATGCAAATCAAAACTGCAATGAGATAGCATCTCACACCAGTCAGAATGGCCATCATTAAAAAGGCAAAAAAATAAAATGCTGGTGAGGTTGCAGAGAAAAGGGAACACTTGTAACACTGGTGGTGGGAGTGTAAATCAGTTCAACCACTGTGGAAAGCAGTATGGTGATTCCTCAAAGAGCTAAAAGCAGAACTACCATTTGAGCAAGCAATCCCTTTATTGGGTATATACCCAGAGAGATATAAATCATTCTACCATAAAAAGATATGCATGTGAATAGCAAAGATATGGAATCAACCTAAATGCCCATCAATGACATACTGGATAAAGAAAATGTGGTACATATATACCATGGAATACTATGCAGCCATAAAAATAATGAGATCATGTCTTTAATGGGAACATGGATGAAGCTGGAGGCTATTATCCTCAGCAACTTATTGCAGAAACAGAAAATCAAATACCACATGTTCTCACTTATAAGTGGGAGCTAAATGATAAGAACTTATGAACACAAAGAAGAAAACAACCATCACTGGGGTCTACTTGATGGGAGAGGGTGGGAAAAGGGAGAGGAGCAGAAATTATAATTACAGGGTACTGGGCTTAATACCCAGCTGATAAAATAATATGTACAACAAATCCCCATGACACGTGTTTACCTGTGTAACAAACCCTCATATGTGCCCCCAAACCTAATATAAAAGTTAAAAAAATAAAAAAGAAACTTTGTAAATGAAATAATAATTTGAAAAAATAGAGGACAGTGAAATAATATTTTTCTACAAATAGCTATACTAGCAGAAGGAAATTACATAAAAAAGATATTCTTTAAAAGATCAAGAACGTAAAGAGAAACAGGATTTTTCAAAAACAGTAACTAACTATGGACTCAGGAATATAAAATACATATTAATATTTGACTGTTTAGCTGTAGAATATGGTTAAGTTTTTTAAAAGCATTTCCAAATAACTATTCCAAATGCTCCACACTTTTCTAATATACTGAATCAAAACCATTTTACTCTATTTTAAAAGATTTCTGTAAACATCATATTAGTAACTATGGTTATTATTCTCAGGATACCTATGATATGGATAAGCAAGACACATATGAAACAGGTCTGGAATAACACCAGAGCATTTGTGGCTAGGTGTGATGTGATCAAGTTAGATTGCCACAGAACCTCCGAGGAAGAAAAATCAATCTTGGAGGAGGTTGGGCCGGAGCTTGCCCCAGAGCCAAAGCAGGATTTGGACTAGCACAGTGGCAGAGGGAGGGCATTTTATACAAGGAATACCATGCCTATGCCAAGGGGTAACAAAGAGGCTGAACTCGAGGATATTTGTGAGAAGTAAGGAAAAAGACAAGCTTGGGAAGGGAAGAGGGTACAAATTACCAAAAGTCCTGAAGTGCCAGGCTGAGTCCCACAGACTCATTTTATGTTTCAATGAGAGAAATGTTATATACATGTGATATGATACTGTTCATAAAGAAAAAAAATTTAAAAAGAGGACAGAAGTGATGAAAACGAGAACTGAAGAACGTTAATCTGTGAATGGCGCTCACATTGGACAATGGAGAAGGCTGGAAGCTAATGCCATCACAAAAGGAACAAGGCGCTGGATGGCAGGGCAGCTTAGGGAGTAAGGGTAGAGGTGGGAATAGAAAACAAAGGCAGTAAAAGTTAGTAAAAATTTGGTTGGAAGTAATTACCCAGAAAAATCTTCTTGATGCATGGTGATGATTATGGCCTCTATAGCATCTTCCACAGAAGTGAGTAAGGGTTGCACAGCATTTTCCATAAGAGCATGAATAGCCTGAAAAGAAGAGAAAAAGAATAAGAGGCAAAATTAAAGAAGACCAACACAAAGAAATCTGAGATGTGAGAAACACCGTGACTAACAGTTTTCATATTATATCAAATGCAGACTAAGTTAACAGAAGTCTGCTCCTCTCCCTAACCACTATCAGCAATGATTTTTAAAGCTTAAAATACGTGGAACATGGCACTGAACAATTTCAATATCCCCACTCTTGTCATTTTTTCCAAAAGGTTCAGTGGTTAAATCTGCCCATAGAGAAAGGAAGGCATACAGAAGAAGACAGTAGTTCAACTAATGAGGTAAAGCAAATGAACACATTTAAGTTTCACACAAGAGTTAGGTAAGACCAAAAGTAACTAAGAACTGGAACAACATCATATGATTTTAACCAAAGTGAATATAATAAACAGACATTGACTGTTTCTAACTTTTAGGTTCAGGGGTACATGTGCAGGTTTATTATAGGGGTTTGCTGTGTCATGGGGATTTGTTGTACAAATTATTTCATCACCCAGGCACTAAGCCTAGTACCCAATAGTTATTTTTTCTGCTCCTTCTCCCTGCTCCCACCTTCTACCCTCAAGTAGGCTCCAGTACAATGATTCTAATAGGGGACAACAGTTGGGCATTTTAAGAGTTAGGTTTCTGTTGAGAGTTCTACAGCAGTGATTTTCAACCGTGGGCAATTTTGCTCTCCAGGAAACATTTGGTATCGTTCGGAGACATTTTTTATTGTCACGATTGGGGACAGGGGTACAAGTTTGTTACTAGCATCTAGTGGGTAGAGGACAAAGATGCTGCGAAACATCCTATGGAACATAGAACAGCCCCTATAATAAAGAATTCCCTAGCCCAAAATGTCAGCAGTGCCATGGTTAAGAAACTGTTCAATGGGGAGTAAATCATCAGTTACTTGATGTAAAATCCTAGGTCTTAGTTATGAGTTTTGGTATGGAAATAATGACTGAGGCTTAAAACAGTTATAATTAAAAAAGTAAGCATATTATAGTCACTTCAAAGATAAATAAATATGATGAAGATAGACAGTTTTGGCTCAAACAAATCATCAAAATCAATGAGAAAAGGTAAAATATAGAATCCTTAATCATTAAATTCCTAATCTATAGCCCTTAATCACGGGTAAAAATAAATATACAATGTACAGAAATGTGTGTGTAGGTATGTATGCATGTATGTGTGCGAGAGAGAGAGTGTGTGTGTGTGTGTGTGTGTGTGTGTGTGTGTGTGTGTACATATAGTTTGCCCTCCATATGGGAGCTCAGAGTCCAGTGACAATAGTTAAAAAGTTATACAGGTTGAGTAGCCCAAAATCCAAAATCTGGAAAGGTCCAGTGAATACTTCCTTTGAGCATCATGTTAACACCAAAAAAGTCTTGGATTTTCCCAGGCATAGGAGTTTGGGAAAGCTGAGGTACTTGGACAACCACAAGGCATACAGCACATATAGATTACAAGTGTTTGGAAGAAACAGAGGCAGTAAGAGGTATACTTTGTACAGGCTACTAAAAAGTTAGGAATTTATCCTAAAGGGACTAGGAAACCAATGATGTGTTTTAAGCAATACAAAAAATGTGGTTAATGATTTGGATTTAGGAAAAATCATGTTGGATAATAAACTGAATGAATTAGACTACAAAAAAAAAAGGAGTATAACTATGAGGTCACAGCAGTGGTACAGAGCTGCTGGAGACTGAGAGAGGGAGCTTCAAAAGGACAGAGCTGGAGAGGACGGCCTAATTTTATGCTTAAACTCAGCACAAATCTTCAGCTAACTCATTAACAATGCAAGTGGACAGCAAACTAAATGTGGCTTGCAATTGAGGCTTAAAGAAGTGAACTGACTGAGGTGTGGCCAACTGCAGGTATGAGTACACAGTTTGAATATAACCAAGTTAATTGTCTGCTAAAGCAAAATCAACATGCTTATAAGAAATGTAAAAAAAAAATTCCCAGTTCTACAAAACATAACATTCACAGTGCTTAGGATTTGCTCAAAATTACTACATATAGAAAATGCTAGGAAATGTTATCAATTCTCTAAGGAAAAGACAATCAAGAGATGCCAACCCTGAGATAAACCAGACTCTAGAATTATCAGGCAAGAACCTCAATGAGGCAAAGAAAAATATGCTCACAATAAATAAAATAATAATATATCTCAGTAGAGTGAATAAAATGTAAAAAAAAAAAAAGGTAACTTTAAACTAAAAAAATTATACTATCTGAAATTTTAAAACTGACTGGATAGGCTTAGTAGAAGAATTTTATGTAGTGATGACAGAGGAAAGAATCAATGAACCTGAAGACAGAATTAACAGAAATCCCTCTAGAGAAGAGAAAACATACTAAAAAATAACTAAACCTATGAAACAACTGCAAAATGTCTAATATACTGGTGACTGAAGTCCTATAAGAAGAGAAAAGAATGTGGCAAAGAAAGAATAAGGCAGCTAAACTACTTGTGAGGGAAAAATGCCTCAAACTTTCCAAAATAATGAAAAGCATGAATTTACAGTTTCAGGAAGGTCAGCAGATCCCAAACAGGATAATTTTGATGCGAACTATGCCTAGGCACACCATAAACTGCTGAAAACCAAAGATAAACAGAAAATCTTGAAACGAGGAAAAAAAAATTACATACAAGGGAAATAATTTTAATAAGTAATGACTTCTTATTAGAAAGCATGGAGGCCAGAAAACAGTAGAACATATTTTAAGTGCTGAGAGAAAAAAAACCTCTCAAATCCTTAATTATGTTTTCTGTATAAATATCCTTCAAAGATGTGAGTAAAATACATATTGGCAAAAGAAAATTAGGAGAGTTCATTGCCATCACACTCACATGATAAAATTTAATTTAAACTCATCAGATTTTAAATGATGATTTAATTTAAAATAATTATTTAAAAAATCATCATTTGGCTGCTCTGCCTAAGAAGTAGTCATTCTTTTGTTTCTTTTCTTTTTGTCTTTTTTTTTTTTTTTTTTTTTAATAAAGACGGGGTTTCACCATGTTGGTCAGGCTGGTCTTGAACTCCCGACCTCAGGTGATCCACCCGCCTTGGCCTCCAAAGTGCTTACAGGCATGAGCCACCACGCCCGGCCTTGTTTCTTTTCTTAATAAACTTGCTTTTACTTAAAGAAAGGTAAAATCATCAACATTTAATTGTTGTCAGAATTAAATCAGAAATCAGTAACGAGATATATACAGAATCCAAAAGTAATTAGAAATTTTAAAAACACATTTCTAAATAAGCCATAACACAAATAAGAAATCACAAAGGAAATTAGAAAAATATTTCAAACTGAATAAATATATATCATAGAAAAATTAGTGGAAAATTTATATCATTAAATGTTTATTTGTGGGGAAAGTAGTCTAAAATCAATGATGTAAAGTCTCAAGAAAATCTTTAAAAAAAAGTAAAGAGGCCATTTTGTGAAGAGACGAAGATTGAGCGGTTGTCTCCGCATTGCCGACCTCCAGCAGCAGTCGGCTTCTGCACGTAGAACCCGGGAGTAGCAGACTCAGAATCGAATCTCTTCTCCCTCCTCCCTCCTGTGAGATTTTTTTGATCTTCAGCTACATTTTCGGCTTTGTGACAAACCTTATCATCAAACACAATGGCCAGCAACGTTACCAACAAGACAGATCCTCGCTCCATGAACTCCCGTGTGTTCATTGGGAATCTCAACACTCTCGTGGTCAAGAAATCTGATGTGGAGGCAATCTTTTCGAAGTATGGCAAAATTGTGGGCTGCTCTGTTCATAAGGGCTTTGCCTTCGTTCAATATGTTAATGAGAGAAATGCCCGGGCTGCTGTAGCAGGAGAGGATGGCAGAATGATTGCTGGCCAGGTTTTAGATATTAACCTGGCCGCAGAGCCAAAAGTGAACCGAGGAAAAGCAGGTGTGAAACGATCTGCAGCGGAGATGTACGGCTCCTCTTTTGACTTGGACTATGACTTTCAACGGGATTATTATGATAGGATGTACAGTTACCCAGCACGTGTACCTCCTCCTCCTCCTCCTATTGCTCGGGCTGTAGTGCCCTCGAAACGTCAGCGTGTATCAGGAAACACCTCACGAAGGGGCAAAAGTGGCTTCAATTCTAAGAGTGGACAGCGGGGATCTTCCAAGTCTGGAAAATTGAAAGGAGATGACCTTCAGGCCATTAAGAAGGAACTGACCCAGATAAAACAAAAAGTGGATTCTCTCCTGGAAAACCTGGAAAAAATTGAAAAGGAACAGAGCAAACAAGCAGTAGAGATGAAGAATGATAAGTCAGAAGAGGAGCAGAGCAGCAGCTCCGTGAAGAAAGATGAGACTAATGTGAAGATGGAGTCTGAGGGGGGTGCAGATGACTCTGCTGAGGAGGGGGACCTACTGGATGATGATGATAATGAAGATCGGGGGGATGACCAGCTGGAGTTGATCAAGGATGATGAAAAAGAGGCTGAGGAAGGAGAGGATGACAGAGACAGCGCCAATGGCGAGGATGACTCTTAAGCACATAGTGGGGTTTAGAAATCTTATCCCATTATTTCTTTACCTAGGCGCTTGTCTAAGATCAAATTTTTCACCAGATCCTCTCCCCTAGTATCTTCAGCACATGCTCACTATTCTCCCCATCCTTGTCTTTCCCATGTTCATTAATTCATATTTCCCTGCGCCTAGTCCCATTTTCACTTCCTTTTTGACGCTCCTAGTAGTTTTGTTAAGTCTTACCCTGTAATTTTTGCTTTTAATTTTGATACCTCTTTATGACTTAACAATAAAAAGGATGTATGGTTTTTATCAACTGTCTCCAAAATAATCTCTTGTTATGAAGGGAGTACAGTTCTTTTCATTCATACATATGTTCAGTAGTTGCTTCCCTAACTGCAAAGGCAATCTCATTTAGTTGAGTAGCTCCTGAAAGCAGCTTTGAGTTAGAAGTATGTGTGTTACACCCCAACATTAGTGTGCTCTGT